GTTGTTGCGGTTCTCAGGTGTACCGAGACTGTAGCTGTGTCCCTCAGAATCTTTCCTCTGGTTTCGGCCATGCCACTGCAGGGAAATGCGCTTCCGCTTGCCAGAGGAAGCCCCTGCTCCAGGCTTTCACATTCGTTGTAATTATCTTTACCTTCCTCAGCAGCGTCCCCGCGCTCACGGCCACCTTACGGTAAGCTCCAGGCGGGTCTCACTCCGGTCCAGAACCTTCCCTTGCAGCCAAGTGGAGCTCTGCAGGAAAGACCTGTGCCCCTGTGAGGCGCTTCCCACCGGGGAGGCGGCCACGTGGCCGGGGGCGTGGCCGGGGCTCGGCCGCTGGCGTGGGGCTGTGCCTTGGCGACCCGGCCGGGCGCTGACCGAGCGTGTTCCCGCTGCAGGTGTGTCCGCGAGCAGCAGCGGTCCTTCGCGCTGGGAATCCAGTGGATCGTGGTTAGAACCCTAGGTACTGTGCGGTGTGAGCATGTCGTGCCGTGTGCCCGCTGCGCAGGGCGCCTGGCTCACGAGGCTGGTCAGGCATCGTGGCAGGAGGCCGGGCCGCCTGGGGAGGGACACCGTTCATTCCCCGACAGTCTGCTAGAGGGACCTGGAGCCGTTTCTCGGCCCTTTCCGAAGGCTCCACGGGGGGCGGGGGTCCTGGGGAATCACTCGACACGGTGCCGAGGCCCCAGAGAAGGGACGTTTAAGACCCGTTGCACCCCTGAGAGCACCAGTGGCCAGCATCCCCCTTCCGAGAGCTGGGGCCCCCCAGGTCTCTGCCGCCGGCACGCTGGGCTCTGAGCGGCCTCTCTCTGCAGGTGGCATTCCAGGCCCCATCGCCTTCGGCTGGGTGATCGACAAGGCCTGCCTGCTCTGGCAGGACGTGTGCGGCCAGCACGGCTTCTGCTTTGTGTACCAGAACGCGGCCATGAGCCGGTACCTGCTCGTCGCCGGGCTGGTGTACAAGGTGAGCTGGGGCGGGGTGGGGGGCTGGACTCTTCTCCCCTGGCTGGGGGTCCAGCAGCCAGCCCCCGGGGCCTGCGGCTGAGGGCATGGCTGCTGCAGCCGGTTCGCAGAGTGGTGCCCGTGCACGTTTACCGCTGTTGTTGGGACCGTGGTGACATGGTGGCAGTAGAGGGGACAGTGGGATGACAGTCGCAGGGACACCCTCAGCTCACAGCCCCTCCCCCGCCTTCCCAGGCCTTCGCCACCACCGCCCAGCGGTTTGCCCTGTGCCCCGGGCAGCTGAGGCTTGGAGGAATAAGGCCAGCTCCCCGCTGCTGAGCGCAGCCCTAGCTGCCCCGGGCACAGCCCGGCCGCGGTCGGCGTGACGGCCCGTGAGCCACGTGACTCCCTAAGGTGATCTGGGCACCGTCTGCTTCCCAGCCCGACCCTCTGTTTCCAGCTGCGTAGAGAAGCGTCCTGCAGTGACTGTCGGCAGACGCCCCTGGGCAAAGCCCAGAATTTATGTTCCGAATCCACCCCCCACCCCTGCTGGAGGAGAAGGCAGAAGCCTTCGGAGCAAAATGAAAGCCCGAGGCCAGTCTGTAAGAGGGTCTCCTCCCTTCCTTGGGCCAAGGGCGAGCTCAGGACAGCCCGCCGGTAGGAGCCCTTTCCGGAAGGGACTCGAGGACAAGTGCCCTGGCTGACCCCGATTTATCTCCCTGTGGATTAGGCAAAAATAGCCCAGTGAGAGAGGGATTTGTGCAGCTCTGGATGGAGGCTCAGCTCACAGCAGACCCCCCCGGGGGGCTGGCCCCGCCTTCTCTGTCCCGTTGTGTGGCCCCCACCCAGAGCACAGGCTCGTGCCGGACACCTGTGATGACCCTTCGATCTCAGCACAGCCACTGAGGCCGCAGTGCTTAGGGCTGGCCTGCAATGCAGGTGCTAACTCCAGCAGGGGGAGCAGATGGCTGAGCCCCTAAATTGCTCTGCCACAAAGTGGAAACAGCCCCAGGCCCCCGTGTGGCCTCAGGCCCCTCAGCCCGTGACGCCGGCCCACACCGCGTTTACGGCTCAGAGGCAGACACGTGTCCCCAGGGGCCGCATGCTCACATTACCCTTTGCAAGGCCGCATGCCATGCCCGCCGTGACCTGTAAGGTCGGAGCATTCCGAGGCAGGCTCCTGGGGCCACCGTCACAGAGGCCACGAACCGGGTGGCTAAAACGCTGGGACTTCGCGCACTTCGGGAGGCGGAAGCCCCAGACGCGGTGTCCCCTTCCAGGGCTCAGAGGCGGGACCCGTCCCAGGCCCCTCCCCTGGCTTCCGGGGGTGCTGGCAGCCTCACCCCAGCTCCGCCTCCCCGTTCCCGGGCCTCTCCTCTGTCGTGGCCATGTGGCACATGCCTCCTTTTCTCCAAGGACACAGGCACTGGACCGGGGCCCACCCGCTCCAGGATGCTCATATCCCGAGATCCTTAACTTAACCGCATCGACAGGGCCCCCGTTTCCAAGCAGAGGCTGGGGGAGGGGCCAGGCTCCAGGGGTCGGGGCGTGAACGTGGCTTTCAGGGGCGCTGTCCGGCCCTCGACCAGCCCCCCGTCTGGTGCCTTTGCTTCACGTCGAACGGCGTTTCCACACGCTCGTGAACAGGGTCGGCGTCCACACCCGGGCCGGCGGTGCAGGGAAGGTGGTCTTCTCGCCAGGGCAGGGGCCTCAGGGCCTCCAAGGACCCCAAGCCGAGCGTGGGGCTCAGGGCCACGCGTGCTGGGGCCCCGGGCAGGCAGCTCCGGGGGCGGGGGCAGCCCAGTGGCCACAGCCAGCGGCTCCTTCCCCCCAGGTGCTGGGCTGCCTGTTCTTCGCTGCCGCTTGCCTCCTGTACAAGGCCCCCTCGGGCCCCTCCCACGGCCTGGAACCCTCTCTGCCCAGCCAGTCCTCGGCCTCCGACACTCCCGCGGACCTCCAGGCTGCCCACTCAGCCCTCAAGCTCCAAAGCGACATCTGACGGCTCACCTGCCTGCTCCGAGCCCGAGCCAGCACTCGGCACCCCCAAAACACCATCCAGCTGCTCCCTGGAAGGGCCTGCCCCTCGCCATTGCTCGCCTAGCTCTGAGGTCCCTTTGAAAATCTCCCACTGGATTCTGGGGAAACCGAACCAGGGGTCACCCGGTGCCCGAGCCTCGAAGGCGGCAAAGAGACAGAACGCAAGACGCCTCAGAAATGCACATAGGAGGGGGCGGGCGGCCGTCCCTCTGGCTCAGGAGGGGGGCGCCCCACGGTGCCCACACACAATGCCCACGAAAGCCCCGGGCGGGCCCCCGGTGGCGTAGAGCGGGGCGCTGGCAGCCAAGCCGAGCGAGGCCCCCGCCCGCGGCACGTGCTCACGGAGCCTTCTCCTCGACGTGATGTTCAGCACCTGCTGTCACCCCCCGTCCCGGGACAGGCGCGGCTTGCATGGGCGTGTATTTATAGACCCATATTTTGGATAAACACTGATTTTTAGCGTGTTTTTTACCTGATCACGTGGTGGGCAGAGAGCGCAGTCAGCAGGCACCTGTGGACGTCGCCTGGAGGGCCTCGACCTTCCCGGGGTGTTTGTTCCGGGCGTCCTCAGTGAAATCGTGCGCACGTTAATATATTTTAATATTGAAAGCACACGCCCCGTCCGCTGTGATCTGTTTCTATGGGCTTGCGAAGCCTGGTCGTTTCGCACATCCTTTGTGTGAGTTCTCGTGAGTCTGCGGCGGGCCGCCCGCATGAGCCGTCACTTGGTCCAGGGCCTCCAGGTGGGCGCCCCTCCCTCCAGGGTCCAGACACTACCTGGGCCCTCTTCCCCTCACTGTCACGAATGGTCTGGACTCCGTCTGGGAGCCGTGGGACTTGGGATGGGCGGCCGGACACAGCAGCTGGCAGAGCAGAGTGTGCATGTATGTGGGTGGGCACATACGTGTGCATGTGCTGTGCGCGCACGTGTGTGTGCATGTGTATTGCATGGATGTGCGTGTGCATATGCATATGTGTGTGGGGATGGGTTGTGTGTGCATGTGTGTGGGTGGACACGTGCGCATGTGTGCATGTATGTGGGTGGACACGTGCGCATGTGTGCGCATATGTGTGTGGACACGTGCGCGTGTGTGCATGTGTGTGGGTGGACACGTGCGCGTGTGTGCATGTATGTGGGTGGACATGTGTGCGTGTGTGCATGTATGTGGGTGGACACATGTGCGTGTGTGCATGTGTGTGGGTGGACACGTGCGCGTGTGTGTGCATGTGTGTGGGTGGACGCGTGCACGTGTGTGTGTGGGTGGGTGGCCATGTGTGCACGTGTGTGTGCATGTATGTGGGTGGACACGTGCGCGTGTGTGTGCGTGTGTGTGGGTGGACGCGTGCACGTGTGTGTATGTATGTGGGTGGCCACGTGTGCACGTGTGTGTGCATGTATGCGTGCACATGTGTCTCAAGAAACGGGACCGAAGGCGCTCCAGCCTGGCCGCTCCCCACACACCCGACTCTGGCCAGGCGGTGGCCGGGCCGGGCGGCGGCCCATGTGAGGCGCCCGCCGCGTCCGTGTCGTGCTCACGCCTGCTGTCGGCGCCGTCCCAGATGGAGGCACGGGTGCGACCTGTGGGTTTCTGCTCCCCCAGGAGGCCCCTTGCCACCTCGCCCCCACCTGGGCAGGCGTGAGACCCTAAGGTCGGGGCCCCCTTCGGCACCTTGTGCCCCGGCGACTTCACCCAGCCCCACGGGGGGGGCGCCTGGGCCCTGGGGGTTTCCAGGAGCACCGCCCCCCCACCCCTCTGCCTCCTCAGCCCGCATTCGCACATCGTCACGGCACTGCTGACTGTGACACCTGCACCTCGGCCGCACCGCATCTCCCTCAGCTTCACCCACGACTCCTCTGAAACAGCTCCTCCCCCCAGCCCTGGGCACACACCTGGGCTCGGCCGCCTCCGGACCTGCCCAGGGGACCAGCCACCCCTTCCCGGCTCCTACTCCGCCATCTCGCTCCAGCGAGGACACTTCCGGAGCCCTCAAGTGAGGCGCCAGGCCCCCTCAGAGTCAGTCTTTGGGGGCGTCCGTGCCCCCCAGGCCCCAGGTCCCACTCGGGCCTGAGCGAGGCCCAGCTCTCCTCCGTGTGTCCGGCCTGTGGCTCCCAGCGGCGGGGGGCTGGTGGCTTGGTCTCCTGGAGAAGCAGGCCGTGGCGGTCACAGTGCTCAGCAGACACTCTTGGAAGGAATGATGATCAAAGTAGAATGGAAGGCCCGGCTGGTGGCACCGCCAGCTGGAGGGGCCGCAGGGCGCCGGCCAGTCCTGACCTGTCCAGAGGCAGGGGCCTCGTTCGCCCCCTGGGTTTGTGTGGCCAGCGCTGGCGCCTGAGCAAATGGCCCCCTGTCTCGTTGCACCTCTGCCCCCTTGTCCGCTGGAGACCGTCTGCGAAGGTCGGGGACAGTGGCCTTCGGGATCCCGGGACGTGCCCTGCCTGCTCCAATGCTGGGAGAACCCACCGGTTGTTTTCTGACGCTGCCCTGGACCTGGACGTTCAGGCGCCACCTCCCGTGTGAGCCGGGAGCCCCGCATCCTGGCTCTGACCTCCCTGGAGCTGCCAGGGGCCCGGGGGCCCGCAGTTGCAGCCACGGGACACCGGGGGGCAGCACAGACACGTCCTGGGAGTCAGGATCCCTGGGAACCAGCGTCCTACACCGACCCCCCGCATGACTCCAAGTCCCCATACCCAGCTGGCGTTTGCTCCCCAAGAATGCAAGGTGGAGCGGGGTGTCTCCTCTGCACTGCGACTGCGAGCTGTCCACAAATCCTGACCCGGCCACCTCCGTTAGCCATGAGCTGGGCAGGCTGCTGGCTGAGCCGAGAGCCAGAAGCCTGCTGAGTGACAGGGAGCCCAGGCTCCGGGGGAGGGTCACGGGGCCTAGGACAGAGAGCGTGGCGGTCGAGGGACTGACCCACAGACAGTGCCCGGGACACCGTTAGCTCCCCTACACCCTCCCCCCGACGGAGGACCCCGGTCGCTCCATGGGGTGGCAGCAGTGCCTGGCGGAAGCCCAGCTCTGGGTCCCTGCATTCCCGTCTCTGCCCTTGAACGGGCGGGGCACTTGTTTGGAGCTCACACTTCGCTTTGTTGTTAAAGGGTGTTATTGAAATGTAAATCACAAGCTGGCGACTTGCCCTCAGGAGCCAGATGGTCTGGCGGGGTGGGGGAGGGGCGTCCCAGAGTTCTGCAGCCACCGTCCATCCTCGTTGCCAGAAAGCTCCATCGAGGCAAAAGGACACACACACCTCCCCACCCTGAGGCCACACCACCCCCAGGCTCTGGATTTGCAAGGCCTGCGGATGGAATCGCACACCGGTGGCCTTCGGGCTGGCGGCTCACTGACCCCGACAGCTGTGCTTCCGGGGTCAGGACAGGGTGAGTCGATGTTTCTGTGCAGAGCTCCGAGGACGCCTCACCTGGTCACCCCAAGATCCCGAGGTGGCCCCTGTCTGCTCTGAGGCGAAGGCGCTCGCTCCCCTGCTGGCTCCTGGGGGCACAAAGACGAGCCGTGGCAGCCGCCGCTCGAGGGCTCATTTGCACTCAGGCTCATTTTCATCGGCAGCACATCAGACAGGCGCGTGAGATCACCGTTAACGGGCGTCCTACGCATAATGCGTTGTGTTCTCAGCTGCCTCCCGCGGTAATTACATTCCGCTGCGTTTAATTCATAACTCGATCGTTTAGTCCTACTGCCGCTGAGGGACGGCTGCTGGCCGTGCACAGCGGGGTCGAGGCCCAAACTCCCGTGGCTCTCGCAGGAGCTCCCAGCAGGCAGCTCCTGACTCTGGGTCAGGACTGAAGCCAGCTGGGGAGGCTGCCGGGGCGGTGGGGACGCGGTGAGGATGCGGATGGAGAAGCAGAGGCCAGTACGGCATGGGGTACATCACGACTCCAGTGTGATAAGTCGGCGTGTGGCGTGCGCCCACCCGCACGAGGCAGGGCTGGGCACGCAGACCCGCGGGCTCAGGTGTGCGTGGTCCTGGGCGTCCCACTTACGCGTCCCGTGCCTCGGTTTCCCCACCTCCGAAATGGGGCGGAGACCGCAGTGTCGACTTCGGGGGTGTACAGACCAGACGAGGACCGGGGTGTGGCGGACGCGTTTACGAAATAATTAAAATAACCACCGTCCTCGCTGACACATAAGGAAACCGAGGCACAGTGCTGAACGACCAGCCTGTGTCCGTCGGGACCTGCAGGATGTGTGTGTGCCTGTGTGTGTGCACGTGTGTGTGTGTGTGTCTGTGTGTGTGTCCGTGTATATATCTGTGCGTCTATGTGTGCGTCTGTGCGTGCGTCTGTGTGTGTCTGTGTGCGTCTGTGTGTGTGTCCGTGTATATATCTGTGTGTCTGTGTGTGTGCCTGTGTGTGTGCACGTGTGTGTGTGTGCCTGTGTGTGTGCACGTGTGTCTGTGTGTGTCTGTGTGTGTGTCTGTGTATATATCTGCGTGTCTATGTGTGCGTCTGTGCGTGTGTCTGTGTGTGTCTGTGTGTGTGTCTGTGTATATATCTGCGTGTCTATGTGTGCGTCTGTGCGTGTGTCTGTGTGTGTCTGTGTGTGTGTCTGTGTATATATCTGCGTGTCTATGTGTGCGTCTGTGCGGTGTCTGTGTGTGTCTGTGTGTATGCACGTGTGTCTGTGTGTCTGTGTGTGTCTGTGTGTGTGTCCGTGTATATATCTGCGTGTCTATGTGTGCGCCTGTGCGTGCGTCTGTGTGTGTTCGCACGTGTTCACGTCTGTCTGTGTCTCCACCCCACTCTGCCCTCCCGTGTGGCTGGGGCCTCTGCAAGGACTTCCTAGTGGTCTTGGACCCCAGGACCTTCCAGAAGGCCTTGGAAAGTCTCGGAGGCCGATGAAGAGGAAGCTGACACACCGGGACCCAGCTGTGTCCCAAGCAGAGGGAATCTTGACCTCTCCACCTGAGGCCTGTGTCCATCCACCCGGCCCTCACTGATAGGGTGACGGCATCCAGTGGGGGGAGGAGGTAGGCGCCCCTGGGCACTGGGGGAGGCTCCTCACCCCCGGCCCCTCACCCCGTGCCTGGGGCAGGGGTGGAGCTGTGGGAAGCCCTCAGGGCGAGGGTCCTGCAGGGGCAGCAACGTGGCCACGGGGCAGAGACCCCGCCCCCACCCACTGCCATCCCCCATGCCCCTGTGTGGCAGGTGAGTTGGCCCAGGGAGCAGCCCTCCACCCACCCCTGACAGGAGCTGCCCTCAGAGGGACACGCCGAGGTGGGGGCCACACGTCCCAGGACCCGCCTACACTGTGGCCAGCGCCCAGCCCGGCGGCCACCTCCCTGCTGGCCTCACCTACGTGCCCACAGCGCTGCTGCGGTCTCCTCCCCATGCGCAGCCTACACGTGACTTCCTGTCCCACGTCCGGCTCGGGGAGCCCCCCAGACGACAAACAGCAGCAGCTCAGCTCCCTGGTCACTCCAGTGTCCTATCGGTTCCCACCGCGGCCCCGGGAAGCAGGTCAGTGTCCTGCCTCATTTTCCACGGAGGACACGGAGGACTCGGAGCTCGCGAGAGGCTGTCACGTGCTCGCACTCAGTCCACCTGGCAAGAGCCAGGAATCGGCCCAGCCCCCCGACTCTCGTGCCCTCCTCTG